GCGGACCGTGCGGGGAAGAGGCGGGCGGGCCGGGGGCTGCGGCCGGGGCACTAACGCCGCTGCCCCCCCTGCTGCCCCCTCCCCTTCTCCTCCGCAGGCCCCGTGTCCCTGTCCAAGTCTAACGCCAACGCCGTCTCCTCCATCCCCATCAACAAGGACGCGCTGTTCGGCGGGGTGGTGAACCCCAACGAGGTCTTCTGCTCCGTGCCGGGCCGCCTCTCGCTGCTCAGCTCCACCTCCAAGTACAAGGTCACGGTGGCGGAAGTGCAGAGACGCCTCTCCCCGCCCGAGTGCCTCAACGCGTCTCTGCTGGGCGGAGTGCTCCGGAGGTGAGGGCCGGGCCGGGCCGGGCCGGGCCGGGCGGGGGACGGGGCTCCCAGCGCCGTGACAGCCTCGCCACTGCCACTGCCACTGCCACCCCTGCAGCTGAAGCCAGGGGCCGGGTGTCCCTGCAGCCAGGGTGCCGGAGCTGTGCTGGGCTGGGGCCTCGGAGGGCACTGGGCTGGCTCTGACCTTGGCAGGGAGGGACCCTTGCGCAGGGAGTCAACGAGGTGGAAGGGCCCTCTTCCCCCCACACCTCTTCCGCAGGTTTCCCCGTTTGCCAGCAGTTATTACAACAAAGTTTGGGATCTGTATTCAAGGGACATCCTTCCTTCATAGATTTCATAGACATTAAGGGTGCAAGGGACCTCACCAGATCATTGAGTCCAGCCCCCCTGCCATAGGCAGGAAGTCTACTGGGGTCCTTCCTTCCTTCCTTCCTTCCTATTATAATCTAATCCAGGCAGTTAAAATGCACTTGGGTAGGGAAGAAAATCCAAGAGGAATGAATCCCACCACTTGTATTTAAAACCTTTGGTCTCCCCCTGCCTGGGTTACAGCTAATAGGCAGGTGTTTGGAGAATCCTTTCTTGGCCCAATCCAGCAAAGCTCTGGAAATAGGGGTGTCTCTAGTCTTTGGGGCCAAGGCTGGAGGTCATGGCTGCTGGAAGGAACTTCTCTCCTGGGTTGGGAAGGTGTCAGGAGTTGGGAAACCATGATGGTTTGGGTCACTACCTAGGAGCAGATCCGGGAGTGTTGCTCTCAGATCTGTGCTTGTTTAGGAGTTAAACTGGGGCTCTGGAAAACATGGGAACACTCAGCACTCCAGACCTTTGACCCACAGGATATCATTTGCAGGTACCAGTTGGGTTCAGTTTTGCCAGGTTTCCTCCTCCTGCCTGTTCCTCACATCCAACTTCCTTCACCATCAACATTATCTTCTGATATATTTGGGGGAAGGTTTTAAAGGGTCCTGAAATCTGACCTGGTTCCTATCAGTCTTGTTTCTAAGTGGTTTTGTGTGTGAAACAGGGCGAAATCTAAAAATGGAGGGAGATCTTTGAGAGAGAAACTGGACAAAATAGGATTAAACCTGCCAGCTGGGAGACGTAAAGCTGCTAATGTCACCTTACTCACGTCGCTAGTGGAGGGTAAGTGACTCCAAGGTTGGAAAGGCTCCTTCAGAAAAATAAGTGGGGGGGTTGTTGTTTTCTTTTGCCTGTGAATAGAATGCCTCCCCACTACTCCTTGTTTGAAGTCTGAAAGGCGTTATTTTCTCTAATCCTTAGGGCTGAGGAAAATGTTCATTTTGTAACTTGGCCTTTTGTTTTCACCTGAGATGGACTCAGAGACAATCCTGAGCTCTTAGCATTGCATTCTCTAGAAAGTATTTGCACTGGATACATGCTGGGTCATATCCCACTGCCTTATTCAGTGGGGCCAGGAATAGATGCAGAGGAATATGCCAGGAACTCGAATAAAGACTGCAAGATGGGGTGGATAAGTGTTATTCATTTGAGTGACAGTTTACAGGAGCCAGTTTAAATTTCCCCAGTTCCTCCATTCCCACACTGAGGACTAGGCAATTTTAATTTTTAAAGAGCTGCTGCTATTTGCAGTTTTGTGTCTTTCTTCCTTAAACAACATAACAGTAAATCATTTAAGTTATTCTGACATCTGCATTGGAGAAATGCGTGACCATTACTTCCTGAATTAATTTGGGAATCCTTGACCTAAGTCATGAATTAAGGGTGTCCTGAAAGCCTCGGAGTTGTATTCTTTTGGTTCTCATTTTCAGAACACATGCTCTCTTTATTATACTTCTTCTCTACTTTACTTTGCGAGGAGAAGGTGAAACTTCTTTTAACACCTTCAGACTTCACATGTTTTCGTAAGTCAGATGAGGAAAGCTGATAGAGGTGTAGTCATTTTTAAAATAAAGCCTACTTTGCCACAGCTGCTTGCAAAAAAAAAATTGGATCTATCAAAACTGTATTTTCATTCCTTTCCTTTAGTTTTGGGTTTGACATCCTTTTTATGTGGGTTTAGACAAATATGGGAAATCTTTCTGAGGATGCTCAGGTTTGCTCGTTGGAGGGACCTAGACAGCTTTGTTCTTTCTTTGCATTATGTCCTGGGAGAGAGACTTTCTTGGAGTGAAAAGCTTTATTAAAAGCTACACTTGATTAGGAAAAAAATGGTTTAGATGATCAACTATATCATTTCTGTACTGCCTGGGAACCTGCTATATAAGTCTTTCTGTTTCATAAAGGCTTTACAATTGCATCCAACTGTAATTGCATACACTTACAATTGCCACTCTGCTGTAAATAAAAACTGGGCAGAGAGAAAAGAACTTGCAAGCAGTTTGGATTTGGTGGTGGCTCATATTTGTGATATTTATGAACACGGAAAATGTCTTACTGTGTTCTGTTGTTCATGCAATGGGCTGCAAATAATTTTCCTTAAAGAAGCAAGAAGGGTTGATCACCAGATAAAGTGGTAAAGATAGCCTCTCTCTCTCTCTCTTTTGTGGATGCTAATATAACAATGGTTTGGGCCCTGAGTCCCCTAGCGATGAGGCAGTTTCTGGAGTACTGTTATTGTTTATGATCCGCTCCATTTTATGGAAACAAGCTCACCGGACTGAGGCTTTGATGCTCTAATTGGCGCATGCGTTCTTCCGGAGCTGGAGCTAATGGCAGGAAGCCCTGCAGTAAAAACCAACTGGTTCAGGAAATTAAAACCAAAGATTTGAAAATCAACAAAACAGGCAGACTCAGTGGAATGACCCTAAAATTCTCATGGTTAATCGTTTGGGGGTGAAGGTATAATTATATGCGATCAAGTTAAATTTTAAACACTTAGCTGTTTAATGCAGTCTATTTAGAAGCTCTCTAGGAGTCGTTATGATCAATATTAATCATTGATACACTGTAAAGGAATATGGAGACAGATCCAAGGTAAATCTCTGTTTTTCAAACACATAGTTAACTGATGCCTATAAAGCTGAGCCGTGCAGTGTGTGTACACAGGTAGATAGGCCATCCAGCTTAGTTCTGTACCTGCCTAGCTCCAGATTGAAACTTTCAAATGCATGCCGGTGATTTCACTTTAAACTATTTTCTTGGACACATGCATTTTGCCTTGACCTAGATCAGAGCAAAGAAAACTCCTGACAGGAGAAGATGTGTCATTAGCATTCTGTGCAGTGTGCATTGGAAAAGAAAGTCTAAGTACAAAATAGCTTTTGCTAATATATTTTGCCCCCTGCGCTATGTATATTGATTAGCGGTGTGTTTCCCTCCCCCCCCACCACCTCCCCTCCTTTCCAGGAGAAGCAGTACATCTAGCTAGAGATTTTGGGTACGTTTGTGAGACAGAATTTCCTGCCAAAGCAGTAGCTGAATTTCTCAACCGACAACATTCCGATCCAAACGAGCAAGTCACAAGAAAAAACATGCTTCTAGCTACAAAGTAAGACATTTACCTTGCCGATGCCTTTGCTGACTTGGAGAGAACATCACACTGTTGGGGGCAGAGGGGTGGGGAGACCATTTTGGTTTGTTTGCTTGCCACTTAGCCAGTGCTGATGAATGATTTTGCAAAATCGTGCAAAATCGTTGCATGTGCATGGGCAGCCTGGGGAAGGGGGGGGGGAGGGGGGAGCCTGCATAACCGGCTGTATTTCCTAAAGAGAGTTTACATGCAGCTTTTCTTGCAAGTCGTGGTGAAACTGTGGGTGGGTGTTTATTTAAAGAAGGAAGAGAGTTCCGTAAAGGGAAATGTTTGCTGGAGCTTTTTAGCTGAGCATATCCATTGCCATACTAAGAGGAGGTTTCCTATTGACGGTAAAATAAAAGTGGCACATTAAAACCGATTTCAGTGCATTCAGATCCTCTGCGGTTCCTTCCTCCTAAGCACTTCCTAAGTTACTGGGTGGCTAGAGGGACATTACAAATCTATGTCCAGCGACAATCTGTCCGCAGTTAAAACGCCAGCGGAGGTTGTCATTGGTGGGGCTGCCTAGGCTTCCAGGTGGTGCGTGAAAAGAAAATGATGGTTTTGCTCTGGTTGCTGGAAATTAAAAGGCTTGTTTAGTGGCCCTTAATTACCAATGGGGATGTCACCAAAGGGCAGGGTGCCAGAGGGCCCAGGCAGAGGATGGGAGCCAGGCTAAGGCTGGAAGACATTAGCAGAGGGCTGAAGCTGCAAACTGCTTCAGCACAGCCTCGGGGCTCTGCTTCAAGGGGCAGCCTCTCTCTCTCTCTCTTTTTTTGTTGTTTTCCCAGCCATTTGTGCAGCGCCTCTGGTATCCAGTGTGACCTCTGCACCCTGCCCTGGGACCTCCCTTCCCTCTAGGGAAGCTGCCAGCCTCCGGCTAGTGCCAGCCTGGCCTGTGTGGGAAAGTGCCACCCCCCTTCCCTCTGCCTGAAGAAGGGTGGTTGTGCCCAAAAGCTTGCAATTAAAGACATTTTTTTGGTGCAAAAAATCTAATTGGTTTAATACAAGATATCACCTCTTCTGATTCCCCCCCTTCCCCACATTCAGCTTGCCCCTCTGCTATTCCCAAACGGGGGGTGTGGGACATCAAGCCCTTCAATTGCACCCCAGAGCTCCTGCGGGTAGATGCTGGGGTGGGGGTAGGCCTGTGGCACTTAGGGGGGCGCAGTTTTGGGGGAGGGTGGCTGGGAGGCGGTGTATCAGTGAGCTGGAGGGGGGGGGGGGCGGGGCTGGG